CGGTTTTTACAGTCCTGCATATTTTGGTACACACCTCACACCTATTTCTGCTCTCCAAAGTCTGCCTCTTCTATTGCAGCTAGCAGTCAAATCGCCTCTCCCAAATAAGACATTTTATATAACATTGCTTTTTCACTCATGTGGCCTTACCATTAGGACATAGCCAGCTCAGTTCTTCTGCCTAAGCTTTAGTGAACTGTTTGCTTCATGATCTTTCTGATTTTCAGTATACCCCTTCCACGTGCCGTTATGAACCTGGCTGCTTTGGGACGCCCTGACCACCCCAGCCTGGCCCTGCCTGGGTCGCCCTGCCTGCACCCACTGAGCTGACATGTGGCATCATCAGGGAGGACACTTAGGAAACATTCAGGTAGCACTTTGTAACGTGGCCAAAATGCGGCGTGTTACAGACCCCCAAAACAGCCACAACAAAACTAAAAGACCTTCCTTTGACCTGCTGTGGAGAGCCTCTGGGTGCTGGACTCATGATGGGTCTACAGACAGCCCTGATATCTGCCAAGAATATTTTAAGATTGAGATCTTTGCTATTTTAGGCAAGCGGCTTGGTTGAGAATTCATTGCTCCATTGAGGAGTCCCAATTCTCCATTCAGTCATTCCCGTTACATGCTATAATTACCCCATTGTTTCCTCTAGTGCACGTAAAACTGACACAGCCCAGTAAAAATTAGGGTTATTCTAGGTCAAACAGTCTTTTCAGTAGATTAGAAGAATAATTCTGGAGTAACTATTCAAAAGGACCTTTCGCTTATTAGTAGCTACTCTACTATTTAGAGGGCTTGTTTATTAATACTAAGCCAGACATCAAATCTTGTTTTCCTGCAAAGGCTAAGTTCACATTCAGTGTCCTTAGGGTATCTCTGATACAATTCTGGAAACAGTTTTCCTTGGAGCAGCCAGCAACGTTTGCAGAAGTAGACAAGCTGCTTGGCACCTTTGCAGACAGGATACACGGAAGAAACCCTGTTGCCATCTTTTAAGACAAAGACGAGCTGACTGATCCAAAGCAGAAATCTTCAAAGTTTAAGGGTCCTGACTGCTGCAAGCCATCACCAGAGACCATGACAACATTGTGATTTCCAGCAAGGAAGACACTGACTGGAAACACTTGTAAATTATGTAAAATCCATTTTATTTTCAGCTGGCATAAATCTACAGGCCAAATTCAGCAGACCTCATTTAAATATACCACTGCTCTTGTGACAGTGGCAGTTTTGGTTTGAAATTTGAATTTGCTGGTTTTTCATGCAAATTTTAGTATCTAGTAGGGAGAATAGTAATTTTTTGTGTTTTATTTAATCATTATCTCATACTGGTCTTGGTACTCTCCTGTCTAGCAGTATTTGTCTATTGCCAACCAAAAAAAAAGTCACTGTTTTTTTTTTTCCCCCTTCATTGCTAATGTTGGAGCAGCCACTGCCTTTTCTTATTCTGAGAAGATAAGAAGATGATGCCCTGATGCCCAGTTCCTGTTTTGCTTCTCCATTATTGGGTTTGGGTTGCCTTTCCTTGATTCAGGCACTCAGAATCCCAAACGTGTAGTTTAAACCACCATTCCTCATCCCTACAGTGGGAGTAGCTCCAGTACAGTGCCTGATGTCTTGGAAGGAATTTTTTTTACTGGTTCTGACTTTTTTTTTTTTTTTTTTTTTTTTTGATGAATTGTTAGGTTAGGTTTGTGGGCACATTTGCCCTCTACTGGGTAAAATAGAAACTGCTCACCCCTTCTGGTGATTGCTCTGCAAAAAGAGTAAGCATGATTCTGGGCAAAATTTCAGCAAAAAATCCCTGCAGTGGACCTGGCCCAGCTTCGTAGCCCTGGTCAGTGCCAGGAAGCAGATGGAGCTTTAGCTCAAAATCGTTTCTGTTGGCTGGATTTTACGTTTAGTTCTTTGGCTTGTTCATAGACATAGTCAAAACAAATTAGGACTACAAAGAAATAATAAAGCTGGCAAAACTCCACTCTACCTTCAGCTCATGAATGGAGGTCTGGGTCTTAGCATAAATGCAGAAGTGTGTTGTCATTGCCGTAAGCAGAGTTATGGCCTGTAACTTCAGCTGACAGTTCAGAGCTGATTTCCCGATACTGCCCATACAACAGTCCCCGGTACCTGTGTAGTTTTCCAACCACAGCTTGTCACAAGCTGAAAGAAGAGTTTCTTTAGTCTTAAATTATTTCTTTTTATTCCAGTCAAGACTTAAGTCCTCACTGCATGTGACTTTCTATGCAGAATAAAATAGCATCATGCTTTCTCAGTAGGCCAGCTACTCTTCTGCAGTCAAGGACTGTGCAGAGCAGCTTGCAGGAAGCATTAGGGACTGGGGATAGCAGGCATTTGTTTCGATGAACAGCTACGTATTTGTCGGGGTTTTTTTTACAATTACTTTTTTAACTAAATGTTTAAACATTTTTACTTCTCTGGGAGGACTTGTTTAAAACACATTGAGGGCAGTGCACATTAGCAGCTTTGTAGTTTGGTCATGGAGCTGTTACTCAGTGTCAGTCAGAAAATAACATTGCCATATTCTTCTGTAAGAAGGTCCCAAACCCCTGGGAGGAAAACACCCATTGTCATGCATTACTTGCTAAGGAGTACATCAGATGCATGTCACAATGACACTTTTGGTTTCATCTGATTTTTTTTTTAACCTTGTTAAAATACGTATTAAAGCAGTTTCTTACTTTTTTAGTTAATTGTGTCTCTGTGTGCGTGTGTGCATATGTATAATGCATACACAGTGTGTATGTTTTCATATCTGTGCATATGTGTGTGTGTGTGTGTGTGTGTGTATGAAAAATAGATAAATGTATCAGGGACTATCTTGTACCAGACTCTGCAGGCTGTGCAGGTCCTCCTTGTGTAAATCTCGTTTCCCATATGCACGGAGTGATTTTTCACTCCAAGAGCACTTTGATCACAGTACATAGGCTTTCCTGCTAGCATATCTGCAAGCCAAAAAACACAACAAGAAGATGCAGGGGCAGCTGCTGAGTTCTGTGTGCGAGGCTGACGCACTGAAATAAGCAGAAAACTGCTTTCTAGTGCTCCAAAGCAGCCTCTGGACAAAGCTGCCTGGTGGTTGCTGGCTCCTGGTACCGAAGGTATGCAGCTGCCTCTGGGGAGAGGACCAAGACCCTGTCCCATGCCTTCCCCAGGCAGGGACAGGGCAACATGCAGCTGTGCTGGTAAGGGGTACCTGGGGCTTCCCTGAAGAGAGCTGGATGCTGCTGGACAACTCCTGCCACTGCTGTCCTCCCGCGGTGTGGCTTTGCTCTTGTGTGCCATCGCCCCCCCCCACCTTCACACTAGCAAGTGCTTCATCGCATGAGTTCTCCCAGTTTGCACGAGGTGTGGCACTGGGAGCCCTGTGGGAAGGGCTGGCCCAGTTGGTCCCTGCCTGGGCACGCAGTGCGGGGCACCCTGGCATGGGGACCAAGGTCAGCTGGGTGATGTGCTGTGTTTTCCCTTTCTCTCCTAACCAGGTCCTCGAGGCGACCAGGGTGAACCGCAGAAAGAGTGCTCTGGCGCTGCGTTGGGAAGCTGGCATTTATGCCAACCGGGAGGAGGACGAATAACCACGCTGCAGTGTGAAGACAGTGACCAGGCATGCCGAAACCAAAAAAAGAGAAAGGAAGAAAGAAAGAAACAAACAAAAAACACTGCGAAAGCAGCAGCATTTTAGTCCAATATTTATTAAATACACAACAAACTCAATGATGCACACAGACACAGAAATGATCCGACTCCTGGCAATCCTAAAACAACAGGACAAACCCACCTAGAAAATACCCCTTTCTCCTTTTCTCCTTCCCTCTATTCCCCCTCTGAAATAATGCAATGGGGAGGGTGGAGGGGGTGGGAGCCCTTGGAGGGGGACAAGGGGACGGTTGTCCCCACAGACCGGAGAGGCTTCAGGCACATGGTGGGATGTCGGTGTGGAGGAGCCTGCGGCCAGAGCTCACGCTCGTGCTTAAAAAAAACTGACCGAATTGACAACCCTGCCTTGCCCCTAGGATCACCGTCCCCCCAGCAGCTCTCATGAGACCCTCCTGCAGTTCCTTCGCCTCCCACAGCCACTGCACCGAAACCATCGGCGTTACTTCGGCATACTCCTACCCAGCCACAAAACACAACGATATTGCCCTCTGTTGCTGTTTCTTTGAGGAGACTGAAGGGTTGGGTTTGGGATTGGGGTGGCTTTTTGGGGGTGTATGTTCTGCTCCCCCCTCTAGTAATTTATCTGTTCTAAAGGAAAAACAAACAAACAAACAAACAGGGAGGCAGTTATTGCTAATGTACAATCCAGTAGACTCAGTAAAACAGTCCTTGTGTTGCAAACACAAGCCATCACAATTTAGGAGTGGAATAGATGGGGATGAGAGCTAAGCCAAATGGATTACCTTAGCTTTAGGATCCTATATGCTTGCAATATCACCTGAGCTCCAGGTTCTCAGAGCATATTTACATAACAAAGTTTCTAAATAGAAAATCTGTATTTAGCGGATGACAACTATTTTTTGATGGTGGGGAGGGAAAAGAATGGCATATGTGTAAAATCTATGAAGATGGATAATTTGAAGTAGAAAGGTAGTGGGAAAGGGATACAAATAAAGGACATTTAATTTTTAGATGAGGCAATAATTGAACTAAGCCAGACTCTGGCCTAGAAAGAGGTATGAAATAAAGAAGAAAGATAGTTCTGTCTTCAACTATATTTATAAAACATAAAAAGCCTTTGAAGTAGCATGCTTTGTGAAAGTCTTCATGTTTCCAGGCAACAAAAAAGCTAAAGGGCATAATGAGCTGGAAGGAGTGAGCAAGGAACAGCAGACAAGGGAAGAAAAACATTATTTTTGCCGTTCAGCCAGTGTTTTCAGTGCTACAAGTAAACCATAGAGCCTTTAGTTATTGCTTAGGCTTGGGATCAGCAGTGAAGGATTAGTGTGGATCTGTGTGTGTGAGTATGTGTGTGCGTGAGTGTGGGCATGTGTGTTTGCGGGTGTGTGCATGAGGCTGGCATACCAGAAGGGGTATGGCAGTGTGTGTACTGATTATTTTCTCCAAGGCTGTTTACCAGCTATAGGGGTGAGTGCTAATTTCTTCTTGGTTTTTTTTTTTTTCTGAAAGGGGATATAAAAACAAGGCACTGAGTTAATGCAGTATTTGTGATATTAAAATTTGACCCAACATGGTATTTGCATGAGTCACAATTGCGAAGTATTGACCAGTTTTGTAAGCTGACAATTAGGAACAGAAATGTGGTATTTATTCTTGTGCTTTGTATTTGTATGTAGTATCGAGGCTGCGGGTTTAGTCTTTCTTTTCACGCAAGCAATACAATAGGAATATTTTACAACTGGGAACCATAATTTCTGGACTAGAAATCAACCAGTTTGGGACGTGACAGAACAAAAGACACTGAACTTTTTTCTATATAAAATGTTCTGTCTTTTTTATAAACAAACAAACAATTATTATTTTGACATCTTTTTAAAAAAATCATCAGCCAGGACTCTGGTCCTCCCTTAAGCCTTTCCTTGGTTTCATGACCTGCTGTGCTGTTTTATCCTGAAATAGTGAGCTCAGTTAAAATGAGTACGGATACTGTGAAGATACTTCTGGTGCTTTTCTTAAACACAGAGCTTGCAACCAAATTATACCCCTACCCGCCCTTCAGTTCCTCCAGCGTGTGACTTCTGTCCATGGACACTATCATTTTGAGGCTTGTTTTCAGGGAATTGTAGCAAATACAATTATATATACCTGTTAACTCAGTTCTGTCAATTGTCTCCCTGACTGCTATTGAACAGAAGAAAACACTGTTGAACTGAGTGTTCACTGTGATAAGGGCGGCAAGCTTATCTCAAGGATGCTCTCTAAACCCAGGTGCATAGGGAGGCACCACGCCTATGATGGAATTACAGACCCAATGAAGTGGACCCATTGTTCAGACATGGCAATCAACAGTGAGCTGTGATTCACGTCTGTACGCGGGTCATTACCATAAGACTGTAGGAAAAGCAACACCGCCAATGCAGCGCTCTAGTGAGGTCATGCATCATGTAGCTGCATCCCTCAGCTCTGCACATCTGTACCAAGAGGAGTCCTGGCTCCCTCCACCCTTGGGGAGAGCTTGAGGGAGACTGGGAAAAAGGAGTGTCCTGAGCAGAGGAGATGGCCCTTGTGCTTACGGTGAGGTGGATCTTGCACCAAACGATCCTCTTCAGAGTTTCCCCCAATATTTGCTCCCTGAACCTGGGGCAACCCTGGGCTGCCTTAGGAACCTGCATCTTTATTTTCTTTAACCTGGAGGCCTGTTTTTATCTCCTGCTCTCTTAGTGGGAGCCAGTGACACTGATCACCCATCATAAGACATCTCTTCATGCTTTGCCACATCTTCCCCTTCCGCCACAATCATCCCTCAGTCTTTGAAGTGAAAATTAAATTGTTCCCCTAGAAAGGAGATGTGGTGGCAGGGAGAGGCCAGGCAGGAGTCCTCTGCACTAGAAGCACTCGCTTTCAGCCCCTGTGACAAATGTGTTTGCATGTATTTGTATTGCAGTCCAGGACAGCCAAACTTTCCACCGAGCAGAGTTTTTCTCTTCCAGAAATTATGGACACTCGTCAGCAGCACACATTCAGTGCTGTGGTAGCACGAGTGCGATGCAGTTTACTTGCCTCTGTTATTTCATTTGCATGCTACCAAGCTTAGGTGTTTCTAAGTATACGCCAGTAATACATATCTATCTATATATAACTATATCAAATGCAACAAAAGAGCACTATTGCAGAGTTAACTTTGTCTCCACAAAAGAAACGCTCAGATCCTTTCCCGTGGCAAAGACTGGTTTTAATGAAACTGTGTATTGAGAAGTAGTTAAGCATTAGCATTTGTGATTATAATCAGTTTGGGGTTACAGTGCAGGTTTTCTGAACAATTTGTTTTAAAAGCTGCCAGTTTGGGCTTCATCTTGCTCCGTACTGAGATTATCTGAAGGAAAATACAGTAGCATTGACATGCTTGGTAACCAAAAGGCGGCATCCTTGTCATGACTTATCAACCAGTATCAACAATACCTGGCTTTCTGTATGTTAACCACTTAAATGTTATCCTGCTTCTGTTTTATAGTGATTGTGAGGCCTACAATGCAAGTATATAATTATTTTCTCATTAAAACAGAAACCTGTGTTGTGTTTCTATAAAGCTGCCTGTTTCTTCACGTTCTTGCAGGTAGGAGTACCCCAGCAAGCAGCACGCGGCTGGAAAAGAGTGGCTTGTGTCCCATCTCCCAAGGCAGTCGGTTGGTCTCTCCCCCAGTTCTTGACTCTGCTTCTGTCTGTTTGTCTAGAGGTGCAAGAGATCTCTTTTTCTCCACTCAGTGGTCAGATACAAGAGCATCCCGGAGTATTTCTTTCCCATTAACATGCTTGCAGAGGGTTGCAGAGGCCAGATCTGCTTTATGATGAATTGCATGAACTTTCTTATCTTGCTTCCTTCACACTTGCAGGACCCCTGCCGTCCTGTACGACAAAGCATATCATTTCAGCCAGTCATCCATTTCTCATGCCCAGCTGCAGCAACCAGCCACTTGCCCATTGCTGCAGCACCTCTCCCCACTTTTGCGGTCAGCTAGACCTGGAGAGACCCCAGACCTCAGCCCTGCTAGGAAGCTGCCATCACATTTGCCTGCAAGAGCTGGAAGGTGCTGGAGCACCAGGTACATGGCAGTTGCAGACTGGCCACAGCGACTTGTTGGGAACTGGGCAGGTTCATGCCAGCCCCTGCCCCTCCGTGTGCCAGGAATAGTCAGGTATTTAATGGTAAGTCTGCTCCACAGCCCACGGGAGGAGGCGGAGGACACCGGTGATTTCAGTGGGAGTTGGCTAGGGCCAAGCACAGCAATTCAGTCCCTGCTCTCCCTAACATGAGCCCTCCTCCCTCTAGTACACACAATATTGAAATGCCTGCAGAGAAAAGTCAGATGTGGATTTTCTTTCCAGTTAGTAAATACTGGTGGAAGTCAGAAAACGGATTAGAAAACAAGCTTTATAATTTATCCACCAGTTCTGTATGAAGAAAAAGAGGTTATTGTCTTTTCAGCACTGAAGAGGCTTTCTGTCTTCCTCTGCTTTTCCTCCCTCTGTGCTAAGAGGCATTGCATATTGGACTTGCTGGCACACAGCAGGAAAGGAAACTCCTTCTAGACCTCTCCCTTGGGTTTCATGAGAATTAAAAGTGGAAATGGACATTTGCAGGGGAGCATTTAGACATTGCAAAACTAATGCAGTGATGCCAGTTGGTGGCAGTAGCTCAGGAATTTTTGCAATGCGTTCTGCTGTTATGAGCTGTTGCTATTTGTTTAACAACACACACTTAGAACATCTAAAATTCCTGTCACCCCATTGCGTAGCCAAATTGGCATGCACCAAGCTTTATAGCATTTTTACAAAGTAGTTAAGAACTATAAAAGAGCCATTTTATCCAGCATTTCTGGCGTTGTTCCCTATAAGGTGAAGATATTGTACCCCTAATAGTTGTAGGTGGCTTTGAGAGGCCTCAGCACAATGGTAAATC